TTTTTTTTTCTTGACAAGGCCAGATAAGTTATGGAGTCCTTAAGCAAGATCTCAACCCCCAGCTCAGTGAGCTTTAGAGGAGTGAAATGGTACCTGTCCGTAAACAGGAGCGCTAGAAACAGGCAGTAACTGCACTGAGCGCGCAGTTCATACGAGATACAGCCACCTCGGATGATGTGCCTTCCGCCACCACCAGCATGTCGTACCCTACAACCAGGCCCCCTTTTTTTCTTTGGATCCTTTAAAGTTGGCCCCACACCTGGTTAATCCTTGGCCTGGTTCCATCCTTTATACAGGTGAAGCACCCCTTGGATTTGTCCGGGCCCTTGCAGGCCTGCGCCACGCGTCCGTGCTCCAGGCACCTGTATCACCTCGGACCCTTGTCTCCAAAGATCTTCAGCCGACAGCTGACCCATTCCACACCGATACGGACGAGACCTGCAAGATGGGGGTCAAGACTTGCCGGCACCTCCACCCACGCGTAACGCCCTTTGCCACCAAAGTTCGCACGGACTACAACGGGCCCGATTTCCGACGGTACTTTGTCCTCTAAACGGTGGAAGGCGTTCAGTAGTGTGCACTGCACCGCGTCCTCCTCCGTCCATTCTACCAAACCCAACCCTCCAGGAGCATGACGGGTACGGTCATCAACGAACGATGGACCCACAGTCATGCTCCTTCAGGGCGCTCTTCAGGCTGTCATCTAAGCTATCAGCCTGGGCGCCTGATCCCCGTGCTTCCAAAAGGACGGCTCCCGTTCAGATCCTTCTGGTGCTGGCCATATGAACCCCCAGGGCTTTGAGGTCAACGGCAGCAATCGCGGTCTTTATGAACGCGGCATACTGTTGACCCTCCCTAAGTGGCTCGATTACCATCGCCTTCGTGCTCGGGACTTTGGCCCGAAGCTGGGAGGCAGTCAGGCCCCGAGACGGTCGCGGTGACTTGGCCTTAGACCCCTCAGGGACCTCCACCTTGGGAGCCGTAGTCACCCGCTCCACTCTTTTGGCCCACTTCCGCTTCACCACCTCTGTCTATAAGGTGGTTTGAGTGGGGTCTGGAGCGGGTGCTGATGCAGGGGCTGGTGCAAGCACCTGCTGGACGTCTTTGCTACTGGATGGCAAAGGCGTCGCGGATTCAGTTATCGAACTTACCGGGCCCTTTGTCTCCCCCTGTTTCTCCTCGGACCTGCTGATCAGCTTTTTTGGGGTTCCGTCGGGGTTGAATAGATCAACCGCTGATAAGAGCACCAGCTTAGGCTTCTTGGCCAAAACCAGCCCAGGTGTCACTGGCCGCATGTCGCCTCCTCTCAATATTTAAAAATGTTATTAATTTCCAAAATACTTGTTCATAATTTACCAAGTACCAATCTTTGACACTTGTTTTAGTTGGATTAATTTCTAACATTTAATCTACTAAATAAAATAAGGTTAAAACCTTTAAAGAAATAAGGGATGGATTTGAAAAATATTTATATATTAACTTATAACAATATGCCCTATGACCACACTTTAAGCATATCTGTTGAAAAAGTTATAATTGTCAATTAATACTGCATATCTACGATATAGACGTCATGAAAAAAATTAGCTACCTATACTTGTAATCCCCTATATATTATACATGTTTATTAACTTTAAAGGTTTATATCTCATAAACAAATAAAATTATGTTAAAAACTCAAATACCATTTACTATTAAAACCTCGAGCATTTTATTCATTTCAAAATATGTGTTTCCATTTGAAAAAACTGAGTTGGCAATATTACAAAGATTATAAAGTATTAAACAGCTAATAAGTTTAGAATAATAGGTAGTGAAGATTATATAAAAAAAAGAAAATTAAATTCTTTTATGTTTGTAAGTATTATATAAGTTTTTGATGAGAAGTAATATTTAGAGAAAACTAGTTTTTAGCAAAAAAAATTAAATAAAAGAATTCTATTCAAAAAATTCTACAATGATATGAACCCCTAATAGCTAATTTAATGTCATAGCACATACTTTCTCAGGAATGAGAGATTGAGGTGCACATATTACTCAAAGAAGTCCAAGATCTAATTCCTTTTTCTCCTCCATCCTCTGTTGCTTATCAATCCATTGACCAAACCATTTAATAACTTATCTAAATCACACATTTCATCCCATCTACAGTTCCCAAAAGTTAAATCCAACGATTTTCGTTTAGTTAATTTCTAAAATTTTAAAACCACATTCCCCCTAAATGTACAACATAAAGTGAACAAAAATTCGAGATCAACTTCATTTTTGATAAACTATAATCGCCAGATAAAACCGTCTTGGTTCGACTGCATACAAGAGCATCTGGCTGCATGGCAATGACACGATACCATATATTTTGCGGTATGCTTAATACACGGATACCTGTTCTCTCTCATCAGCCGCCTTTTTACAAC